GTTCTCATATAGCTTACCTTCGACGATGAAATGCATGGAGCAGCTGGCACCCTCCGCACGACGGCGCCTCATCGAAGGCGCCAACCGCCGGCCTCTGTCCTCTACTTCCTCGCAGTCTCCACGAGACATGATTCCGGAAGCTGATTTCATGGCATCAACACGTTTTCTCGAAGCGCCTCTCTTCCCTCTTCCGCCCGGCCTGCAAACAACGTCCTGTTTATCGCTTCTCAATGGACCTCCTCTTCTTTTCCCACACTTCCTCCTCCCCGTCGAGGGAGACAACGCCCTCCTCTTCCTCTTCCTTATGTCCTTTTACAATTGGGCAGCATGCTTACTAGAATGATAATGAATGATTATGATAATAAGGAATAGATTACACATACCCATATGATAATGACAAAAATATGCAGATGACATTACAACAACAATAAGAAGAAAGAAACCAAAATAAGTATTAGTAACAGATTATAATAACATTAACAAAACGGTAATACGAGTGATAAGAAATGATTTTGTTAGTCTCAGTAGTGGTGACGAGAACACTAATGATAACACTAATGAAAGATGATGAAAGTATTAACAATATTCATGGCATGGCTGCATTAGTGTTATTAACAATAACAAAACAGTGATAGAAATTGTGAAATGTAATGTTGACACTGGGAATGGAACTACCAGGCAAGGTGACAGTAGTGATTATAATGAAAATGATGATAGTAATAATGGTAAAATGGAAGTAATAACTGGTACATTTAATACTGATAGAATATTAATGATGATAATGATAATCACACAGAAATAAAACTAAGAATAATTATGATAATGATAGTAGTGATAATAGCATTAATAACAATAATGGCAATACTAATGCTAATGCTAATCACATTAAAGACTAAGAATAATAATGATGATAATAGTAACAATAATAAAAATAATGATAATAATGATAAAGATATTGATAGTGATAATAGTAATGATAACGACAACAATAATAACAACAGCAATATTGATGATAATGTCAATGATAATGATGATGATGATGATAATAATAATAATAATAATCATGATAATAATAATGATAATAATACTAATACTAATACTACTACTACTACTACTACTACTAATAATAATAATAATAATAATAATAATAATAAGAATGATAATAATAATGATAATAATAATAACGATAATAATAATAATTATTATTATTATTATATGATAATATTGAAATAAAACGATCGTAGTAATGATCATAAAGGTAATGACGGTGAAAAATAAATAATATAATGATGATAATAATAACATTAATGATACTGATAATAATGATACCAGATTAATATCCAATGGATAATTGATGAAGATTGATAATGTTAGTGATATTATAGATAGTAGTTAATGATAAACCCAATAACATATACAACTATAAATGGAACATCATATACGTGAAACGATATCACACGCAGGAGGTGATAAAGGAATTACATAATTTATGGACAATTGGAATGTTCCGGTATTGTTATATAATGATAAGGAATTGGAAGTTAATCAAGTATTTGGCATGATAATTGATTGAAGGACGGAATCAACAGAAACACAGTTATAATATTGGAGTCAATTGATTTGATAACAATAAATCAAACAACAATAAAATCAATTCATAACCAAAGAGCAGTAAAGGTTAGATGGAAAAGAATGGGATTACGCAAGAAACAAAAAATAAAATGAGAATTAAAAACGATAATGATAAATATGCAAGAGTGTATAATAATGCATGTGTATGTAATTATGAGCACTAAGGATGACCAAAATGGTTTGATGACCCACTGCAATAATTATATATTGATTAATTGATATGGGTGGAAAATTGACATCCCAGGAATATTCATAAAGTCCACACAGTTAGTCATAATTCGGCAAACCCAACAAAGACAATCGCACAATATGAGAATTAATGATAATAATGGGAAAGTGGATAAGCCAATCTGATGAATAGTAACGTTCATAACGGATAATGGACAATATTAAAATGATTTTAGATACTCTAATAACAGTATAAACGGTAAATGCATATAGTGAACTTAGTAAAGATTGATAAAATAATAATTGATAAACTGAATAATCGATCTTAATTGGAGTATAAGCTGATAACATTGACATAATGATGCGACTATACGACTCAATGATCAAATTGTAATCATATTGTGTGCCAATTGACAGTAGATAAATAGATAAATTACAATAACATCGCTACGATATGGCATAATATGGATAAATGATAAAACATACTATAACCGAGTTAACCATTAATGGATTAGTAATTAATAATTCTGATATACCAATGAATAATAATTAGATAATATTGATCGATTAATAGAGAAATAATATAATATAATAACTCCTAATGAATAATAATAACTATTAATAACGAAATATGACTAATAGAAAAAATAGTAATCTGTAAATTGTAATTATAAAGAAAAACGTCGTGGAGTAAAAAAAATAATAAGAAATAATAATTGATAAAATAACAATGTAATAATGATAATAATTGTAGCCAGAATAAAAAATCGTAATCCAATTAATTCACCGTAAGACAATTAAAATGAACGGTGCTATTATTATAAAATGGGATTTAGAGAATTAACGATGACGATAAATGAATGGATAGAAAATAAATAAAAATTAGATAATTATTAATAGATATCAATAATTCAATAACTCAGGAATAATTAATAATAATAATTTAATACTAAGTGAAATAATCTGAAATCAAGACTACATCCAATAATAACTAATAATAAAAAATAATAATAAAATAATAAATAAAAATAATTAATAAAAAATAATAATAATAATTAAATATAAATAATAATGTAATAATGATAATAATAATAAATAATAGATGAATCAATAATAATTAATACATATATGATAAATAAATGATTAATATTAAATGAAAACAGTAGTGAATATTCATTAGTTATAATAATAACGAATGATATTAATATTTAAATTTTGATATGTTCAATAATAATATTATTAAATAACTAATCATTACATAATAATAACTATTTATCTAATATGATAATAGTAAGATATGTTTATAAGTGCAATACTCTAATTTGTGTGAGTTTAAATAAGTGTGTGATTCAAGGATAATATGTCTTAATATAATAATATAATGATAATTAATAATAATGATTAATAATAAAAATAATAATAATAAACAATTCAGTTAGCATTAATAAACAATGATAATAATTAATAGCAATAATAATAAACAATACAATGATAATGATAACAATGAGTAGCAAATAGTAATAATAACAATGATGATCATAATTAAATGCAACAATGATGATGATCTCCAATGATGATTGATAGCAGACATAAATAATCAATAAAGAATGATCCTAGAACAATGATTATAGTTTAATGGTAATGATGACCAATAGTAATAATATCAATTATAATAATGATAATGATAATAATGGTAATAGATATCATATATATCTAATAGTAATGATAATGATGATAATGGTAATAATAGCAATAACAGCAATAACAACAACAGTGATAATGACAATAATGATAATGATAATAATAATGATGATGAAAATGGAAATGATAATGATAATAATAGTGATTACTCTGTCATATGCATATATATATATATAATACGATTAAACCATGACAACGTGAATAGTAATATGCAATAATTAAAATGACAAAGTTGATAACAAAAAGGATAATAATAACTAATAATGATGATACTGATACTAATAGTAATAATGATAGTATTGATAATAATAATAATAATGATAATAAAATGACAATAGTAATAATGATAATAATGATTAGTAATAACTATAATAATGATAATAATAACGATGATAATGATAAATAGTAAATAAACAATAATGATAGTAATTACTATGACGATGATAATAATAAATAATGATAATAATAATATAGTAGCAATAACAACAATGCTGGGATTCTGAGAATGATAATAGTAATGATAATACCAACAATAATGAAATATAATAATAATTATATTAATAATAATAATAAAATAATAATAATAATAATAATAATTAAAATATAATAATATAATAATAATAATAATAATGTGATAATAATAATGAAATCGTAATTGTAATAATAAACAATAATAACAAAAACAAAAATATAACAATGATGGTGATAGTATAATAATAATAACAATTATGATAATTAGTAATAAAAATCGTATGAAATAATAATTGAATAATAATAAAGAACATTAAACGATTATTGATAATATCAATAATAAATAATGATAATTAGGTAATAATATTAAGATATTAATAATAATAATAATAAAGCATAACAACAATGATAATAAAAAATAAACCAAAAAAAAAATATTAAAATATTAATAGTCTGATTATGCTGACAGAAACACCAGCAACAGTGATACGTAAATGCACGAGTTAAACAGTGGTTATGAGAAACGAGAATTTCCCGAGAACACCGGCCTGGAGCGCGCTCCGTGTACACGGCTGTCTGCTTTCCATCGCGTCCCCGGGAAGGTGTGAACTCCCGTCGGACCAAGGCACCTCAGATGTTTCAGCAGCAAATATGAAGTATTAGAAACACCATATTTACCGCTACATCGACTTCCCCTCCTTCTTCCCCCACCCTATTCCCCGTGACCCCCTCTCTACCTCGTGCATTACCGCGTCCAGGATTCCGGTGACGACTTCCGTTTCTCACGTTGCCGAAGTTTCGGTAAGTTTAAAATGCGCCGGGTAATTATTGATAACATTCGTTGAAAAAAGCATGTGGGAACATTGTAGATCTGTTGCTTTAGCATCGGTCAGTCTACCAAGAGAAAGTAGTGATTATGATTTGAGCGAAGAACTGGAAAAGCTTTATTCCAGAAATTTCGGTATTTGGCATCCGGATTCCCATGAGAGTCGGCCGCACCGCTCACGACCGCCAGTATGGCTCTGACCTTCGCATGGGAAGGTGTACGCTCCTCTCGAACAGCAGGGCACGAGCGACTCTGAATTCAGGTCGTGAGAGCGAGGAGTTCTATGTCACAAACAGCGAATAATAGCTGTAAGAACTCAGTATCAAACATTCTGGAATTATACATTTAATTTCGCACGAGTGAATTGTCACAAGTGTACGGATAGACATTGTGAAAAATATACATCATAGCCAGGTTTGACGATTAACATTATTGACTTGTGACCAAAGCGAATGACTTCTTTATGCAACATTACGGAAAATCAGTGAGAACCGCGTTCGCACAAGATTCTTGTAGTGTGAGTGAAGCCGTGTATAAGCTGATGAATATTGTGTGCTCGTATTTTCAACTAAAGCTTCTGTGACATCTAATTGAATCTAATTCCGAAAATCTAATTGAAAGTAATTGGTGTGCAAGCATTGTCTGTACTCTTGAAGTTCCATGGATCTCATTCTAAAGTGTGACTACTTTCTACCGTGTGATGATAGATAGTGAGATGAAAAATGTATTTACGGGTAACACGTTATAAAGAGCATCTGTGTGATTATTCGCAGCATCACACCGCATTGGTGGAAAATTCAAAGGAATGGTGAAAAAGATTTGGTGTTGCGAGCATTCCGACAGCGACTCACCCTCCGTAAAACCATTACTGTAAAAAGTAACTGGCACAAGTCCCTCCCCGGGGACTGGCGTGAGACTGTGCTATTGTTCCACTCGTGAGAAACGCACGTAGCGGAATTGCTGGCACGACTCTTCCCATACACTCGGAGACGATTCGGAGGCTCGGCCCCAGCGCCAAGTTACGTCCCATGAAAGTGGAAGTCGCATTTCCACAAAGGTTCTAGCTTCATGTGACATGTGCCTGGTTCCTCACGGGCGGAAGTTGCTTTTTTGCTGATTGAACAGTTGTCGATGAAGACTCCGAAAGTGAGATTATTTGGTGATTAAATTGGTGTGAAATCCTGTGGGAACTTGAGAGTAATTTGCAGAATAGGAGTGCTCTTTGTTCACCTACATATTTGTTCTGTGTAAACAAAGTGTTTGCACATGAGTCATTGTAGGCGCAGCCTTGTGTAGAAACAGTGATGCCGGAATTTCTATTCACGTGACGGAGTGTAGCAGAGTGATGGCGTCGGTGTGTAAAAGTAGTGTAGCGTTGCTGCTGGTGACACTGCTGATTGCAGCAGCAACAGTTGTCTCGTCGTGCCCCCCTGTCTGTACTTGCAAATGGAAGAATGGCAAACAGGCCGTGGAATGCAAGAACCAGGGCTTGGCAAGCCTTCCCGCCGATGTGCACACCGACACGCAAGTTCTGGACATGTCAGGAAACAATCTACACACCCTTCCGAAGAGTGTGTTCTCGTGGGCGAGTCTCATTAACCTGCAGAAGATCTACCTACGAGACTGCAAGATCAGTTTTGTGGAGCCCACAGCGTTCTTGCAGCTGACGAATCTGGTAGAGCTGGATCTAAGCGAAAATTTGCTGACGGAAGTACCTGCACTCGCCTTCTCACACACGCCTGCCCTTAGAGAACTCCATCTTAGAGGCAACAGAATTCATAAGATTTTCAGGGACAGTTTCTCTCACACTCCGTCTCTCGTCCGCCTTGATCTAAGTTATGCTGGGGTTAGAAACATCGCAGCTCCAGCCTTTGAATCTTTATCACTCCTGGAGAAGTTAAAGCTCCAGGGGAACCAGCTGTCTGAGCTTGCACCGGAAACTGTGAAGAGTCTAGAGCGTCTGCATGGAATCGAACTACATGGTAATCCCTGGATGTGTGACTGTCGGGCCCTTCCGCTCTGGCGACTCCTGGAGGAACACGACGTGCCCCATCCCGTCTCGCCATCGTGTCACGCCCCGAGCCGGGTCGTGAGCAACACCTTCCACAGTCTGAGTGAGGAAGACTTCGCCTGCCCACCACAGATGC